AGAGGGACAACTGGCACATTGGATTGGAAAGTTAGAGCAGTATAATTATCATATTGAATACAGAGAAGGAAAATCTCATGGAAATGCTGACGGACTGAGCTGAAGACCCTGCAAAAATGACTGCAGACATTGCTGCAAAAGAGTTGATGATGGTGAAGTGAAACCAAATATGGATATCAAAGTAGAACAGGAGAAAGACGAAGATTTGAAGTCAATAATTGATTTTCTAAAAGCGAGTGTTTTCTGCCCTGTTTGGGAAAAGGTGTCTAGCTTAAGCCCTGTGACAAAGAACTATTGGGCACAATGGGACCAGTTGAAGCTTGAAGATGGTATTCTTCTCCGGAGATGGGAAACTGCAGATGGGAAAATGACAACCTGGCAAACAGTTATACCAAGAAAGTTACGGGAAGTTGTGCTGCGTCAATCCCATGATACTTTAACAGGAGAACATCTCGGAGTTAAGAAAACATTGATTCACCTACGGCAGAGATTTTACTGGATAGGAATGAGGCAAGATGTGGAAGAATGGTGCAGGACATGCAGTACATGTTGTGCTAAAAGAAGACCCAAGCATAAGGAACATGCTCCAATGAAGTTATATCAAGTTGGCGCACCAGTGGAAAGAGTAGGCAATGACATTGCTGGTCACAGGACAAAATAGTAGTCATTGTCACTTAAGAATTCATAAACACTATAATGCTTTTAAAACAAAAGCCAAAGTAAAATAAAAAGTAAAGTTTCAATTATGATTGCAAACCTCAGTATACTGAATGTATACGAAAAATATTAATACACTCACTCAACATAATGCTGAGGAAAATAATGTGGTTACCTCAAGTGCAAGTGTTCAGAGGGAGTTACTCTGCACAGAGGTTGTGTTGCCCTCTTATTGGTGGAGGGCTATTGTGGCATGATAACATCATCATGCACCAGTGCATTTCAAATTAAACACATGAATCTAGGTTGGAGTTAGCTCAAGGCTAGTGACATACAAATCTTGTAGGCAGACACACAAGGAAAATAGCTGTTTGTATGAAGAGATTAAGTATAATTTTGGAATTTTCAAGGTCTTAATGATTTCAAAAAACTGGACTAAATTACTTTAAAGAAAATACCTTATTTCATCTGGAAAAACACCCAGCACAATATCACTTATTTTAATTAAAAGAACTAAAAAATATCTGCAATTACAGCTGTTCTAATAAAATACTAGTCAATCAGACAACAGAAAAGCATTTGAACTACTCAAATCACCATTTAATCATCCAAGTTTCCTACTTTTCAAAAATACATGAAAAAGAAATAACATGGTTGTATTATAATAATATTAGGTCATCAAGAAATTAATGTTGCATTTTTTAGATGAAAAAACCTGAACAACTTGTATATCATAAG